GACACCCCGTGATCACACAGGTTGATATGTTGTTCCATGTGGGCTTTGTTGCTTCTGAGCTACATGGCCGCTTGTTTACCTTCAAGCTTTTAACAATGCAGGGTATTTTAAGTCTGTCACCTTTGAGATATGCTGAAACTTGTGAAAGGTGGAACCCTGTGTAAGGCGTAAAGCTATCAGAGAAGAAAAACTCAAAAGTATTTTGTTAAATTGAGCAATAAAACAGTGGTAAGGATAACACCCTGTAAAAGGTGGAAAGACCCAGATTAAAAAAATGACCTATTACATTGGTCAACTCTGGTGCATAAGCCCTCTGAAGTGTTTAAAAGCGAGAATGTCACTTTGAGGATTAAGGTGTGCCTATCCCAAGTCAAGTTGCCTCATATGCAGATGAAAATTGGGCAGTGAATTAGGAATTTCATAGAAATTGATGCATTTGAACTATGGTATAGATGAAGAATTTTGCAAGTACCAGGGATGGCCATAAGAACAAACAAATCTCTCCTGGAAGAAGTACAGCCAGAATGCTCCTTGGAAGCAAGGGTGATGGTGAGGCTTCATCACTTGTACTTTGGACATGTGCTATCAGGAGAGACCAGTCCCTGGGAAAGGACCTCATGCTTGGTAAAGTGCAAGGTCAGGGGAAGGAGGAAGACCCCCAATGAGATGGATTGACACGTTGCCTGCAACAAGAGGCTCAAACACAGTAACAGTTTTGAAGCTGGCACATGACCGGACAGTGTTCCTTTCATTATTACACACAGGGCCTAAGCTTCAGATTGTGTCACGACCCACTTAACACCCTCCAGTGATCTTTGATGCTTGGATTGCATCAGATCACATGACCAGGCTCTGATGGCCATAGGGTTGCTATGAGTTGGAATCAATTCAGTGCCACCTACCAACAGCAGCGGAATTTCAACTAGCCATGCCTTGTTTTTTAGGCATACCAGTTAATGCTACAGAATAAGCCGTCACAAATCAGCTGCAATGCTTTCCTTTGCTGGAGGCTCTTTAAACTTGGCAGAGCCTGGAGCAGAGGAGCTCGCCCCTGCTCCATGGTGTTTGCCTGGAGCAGTTCAACAGGAGGTTGGAGGGTTGCTTTCACAGGGTCCTCTCACATATCCATCGACTAAGTTGGGGCTCAGACTAGGGAGTTCCAGTTCCAAGCCTGTTCTTCCCGTGGGGTGTCTTTGAGACAGGAAATAGAAAGAGCTGCCAGTTCCTTAAGACCTAGGTCCAGACCTCAGCGCAGTATTGCTTCTGCCATGTTCTGTAGATCAAACAGGCATAGAGCACAGATTCAAGGAGTCCCACTTCTTCTTTGAGGCAATATTCACCTCAGATACAATGAACCATTTTAATCATTAAAGTATATAATTGAGGAACTTTTTCATATATGCGCCATATTGGCCGTAGTAATACATCTGTTGATGTTGTTAGGTGCCATCATGTTGCCTCCAACCGGCATGTCCATAGTGACCCCATGCACAGCTGATGGAGAGAACCCTGCTTCTTAATGAGGGGAGTGTCAGAGAGATTGGGCCAGGTTGTCAGAGTGCCCCATAGGGCTGTGGCTGTCAGAAGTCTGGTAGCTTTGATGAATCGCTCTGGTGGGACAAAGTTGTACCTCAGATCAAGTCACCCTAAGTCCAGGAGAAAATCATTGAGGAGAAACATTGAGGGCTTGGGTCCTGTTTAATCAAGAAATGCCAGCAGACTATTCCTCCCTAAGAAGCAAGCTAAGAAAACCCAAGATCTTGCGTGGAACATTGGGGTGACATTGGCCATGACATGTAATGCTGAACAGTTGGCCCAGTGGGTCACGGTGCTCGCAGGGAGACCCAGCTCAGCTGGTGCGCTGTGGCTTCAGGTGTGTATGTGTGTGGTGGGGGGTGTTGCTCAGGAGCGTCTTGCCCTTTGATTGTAGTGGCTTTCTGTTGGCTTTGGGTTTGTTGTAGGCGTTTCTGTTTTTCAATGTCCCTACATTTTTTAAACAGAGTTCGTTTGCTCCCAGGACCCTAAGGACCAAATGAGAGTGAATAGCCTGGAGTGCTTAAAAAACTTTTTGTGAATTAGGCGAAAGCCTACAGAGCGGGTCACCTGTGTTATGTTACTCAGTTCATGCACATTCTGTTTCAGCTCACTCATGTCAGTTCCCTCAGCCAGCCATCTCCTATTCCACTTGTTCCCATAGGCCTTTTGATTTCCATCACCCTTTTCCTCTGTACCGGAGACCAACCATCGCACCATAAATATCTGTTCATGAGCTTTCAAAAGTTTTTTTAATTGGTATATGTGGTAATTCATATATCATACAATTCAATGGTTCATTCATAATAAGAGTTGGGAAATTTCACCACAATCAATTTTAGAACATTTTCTTCTTGTAGTAATTATTGTTAGCCCCCCATTTCCCCCTAACCTCCCCTGCCATATCCCTGGATAATTATTAAACCAGTAACTGCCTCTACAGATTTACCTATCTTTGATTTCATATTGAGAAAAATACACAAAATAAAAACAAGAAACAAAAATATCCCCAATGGCAATGACAAAACAGAGAAAAACCTTAATCTAAAAGAAAGCAGAAAATATTAAAAACAAACAACTTTAAAACAGCTTAAAAGGCAGATCAAATGATGGGCATTACATTTAACCTAATTACATCTGCCATGATTGACTTAACAGTGCGCTCTGATAGCAGGCCTGGTAGTCACGTCCCTTGACTGTGGTCAGGGGGTTGTTCACAAGCTTTTAAGAGCCCCATCACTAGTCACCAGAGTAGGGCGTAGAACATGGTCTTTGTGAGCTCCGCTGTGCCAGTTGATCTTGGTGTCCCATGAAATTGTGATCCTGACCCAGGAGTGGGCTGGGACTTACAGGAGGATTTAATGAAGTTAATGGGGCCTTTGGTGAATGCGTTACACCTAGGGCTGCTAATCTCAAAGTCAGCAGTTCAGAACCATCTCTGCTGTTTGGACAGTGAGGTTTTCTACTCCTGTAAAGAGTGGCAGTCTCAGAAGCCCACAGGGACAGCCCCACCCTGACCTCTGGGGGCGCTGTGAGTCAGAATGGACTCGATGGCAGTGAGTCTGGTTTTGTGTTTGAAGGATGAGCACAGTGATGAGGTTTCTTAAAGTCTGAAAAGGTAGTGTAAATGGAATTATTTTGAAGGCTTTCCTTTCTGTTTTTTCTTACTCTGATGCTAATTGGCGTCAGAAGTGGCCAGTATAGATATTTCTCAGTTCCTTAAAGCTAACAATTATTAACTACCTGCTGAAAACAGGGTGGGGGAGGGGGAGATTGGCTATATTTAAATAACTTGAATTAAAAAAAAAATTAGGTTCAGCCCACACAGTTCTAATGCAATAAATAGGTCTAAGGTGAGACTTGGAAAGCTAGCATTTGCTTCATCTCTCTCACGTCCCTTTGTTTTCCAATTTAATAATTTGTGGCTCTAAAATATAGTCAAGATTTGAAAACTATAAATTCGAGGTGTTATCTGTGTTTCCCGGGTAGCAACCCTCTTCCCCTTCCCCAACTTGAACACAATGACAATATAGAGGGACCGTGCCTAGTGGACAGGTGGCCTTGGCCGAGTAGCATCCACTTTTCCTGAACTCTGCAGGGAGCCTTGTGGGAGTACAGTTTAAATCACCTCCTGCCCCTTGCCTTCAAAATCCTTTGCAGATTTTTTTTTAGCTTCATGCATTGTGAAGTAGAGCAGTTCCCTTCAGAAATGGCTCAAAGACTGGCCTTCAGCAGGGTTAGAATTGAGAGCCCTAACTGCACTTAAGACTTCCTGCATGTGCTGAAGGAGATCCTTGACCTTCCACCTTAGCAAGCTGACCCTGCTTAGTGGACAGTTGGGTCAAGAGATGGGGTTACAAGATGAATTTTTACTTAAAGTATAATACATGTAAAATGTAAAAATGTAAAAAAATCAATAAAATAGGAAGAAGTGATTTGCAAATGTACCACCATGAGCAATTTTGTGGGATGTCGGGGTATGTACAAGTGAAAACATTCGCCCTCCATCTCTTGAAAGTGGGCATTAGTGTGCTTGTTCTTCAGGAGCGCGTTCATGCCATGGAGGACTCCAGTTTATGCCAGACCAAAACTCCAGGGGCAGCACGCCCACTCATTTTCTTCAACCTCGGAGCCTTGGCTCTTGAGATTGTTGGCCATTTTCCTAACGGAAAATGAGTAAGTGAAGAACAATGATGTCATTACCTCCTTATGTGTCTGTGCAGGATGATTTCTGTGAGCCACAGTCCCAGAGAGAATTGCTCAGCAAGCACATGTGTGAGCGTGTTGAATTAGTTAACGTAGAACTGCAGACATTAATATTGATACATCAAATAAGGTGCTGTGATGGGAAAGTAGCAAGTGGTAGAAGACCTTAAAAAGTGGACTTTCATGTATCCATGGTGTAATGAGAGAGACCCTCCCTCTGGAGGGGAGAGTCCTTACCCGAGACAAAGATAAGCGGAGAACAGGGAGAGTCCCTTTCAGAAGGGGAGCAGCAGGTGCAAGGCCTTGAGCTGGGAAAGCAGATGGAGGGAGGGAGGGAGTCGTTTGTTTATCTAAAGCAGGGATAGGAACCTTTTTCTGCAGAGAGAGAGAGAGAGAGAGAAAGAGAAAGAACACACAAACCTTTTCCTAGTTTCAGTTTGACACTGCTCGTGCGTGCTTACAAGCACCAGCATTCGCTCGCTGCTCCGCCATCAGGCTGTGGCCTATGTAGAGGTCTGTTAGGTGTGTGTAGGCTGGGGTGGATTTCTGAGCTCACTCCCAGTGAGAGGCACTGATGCAGTGCCATTGTAAGGATGGCACTGAACTTTGGGTCCCAGGTGTACAACGTTGCTGTGATTTGGAGCCAGCTTGACAGCTCCTAACAACATCTGACTCGAGTTTAATGACAAGATTTTTTTTTTTTGCTCTTCTAGCATTTCAATCCAGTGACAGACATGCCATGCTCTTTCACTGGTTTTGTGTTAAATCCGCAGATGGGAGGTTCAGGGCCATGAACCACCCTGGCTAGAGTGGCGTTGATGGTCTGTCTTACTGTGAGTGACCTGCTAACAGCTCTTGTTTTTCTAGGTGAATGGAAGAGAGTCCGAGGAAGAAAATCTCAATAAATCTGAAATAAGTCAAGTGTTTGAGATTGCACTTAAACGGAACTTGCCTGTGAATTTTGAGGTAAGTCTATCTTACAAGAAGGATTTTATATTATAAAATTTTGGTGGCATTTATCATTACAGTGTGTTTTTCTTGAATAACATAAGAATGACATTCATATGCATGCGATCCTCCAATTTCTGTCTCAGACTGCATACTTAGCCAAGTAGCATTTATCTTTAAAGTATCTGTAACAGCAACAAAAACAAAAACTGAAGAATCACTTTAAGTGGGCCCTAATATTCCCTAAGAGTTGTTTGTAAAAGACAGAGGCTCTGCTACTGCCCAACTCCAGTCCCCAATTCACCCATTTAATAATCAATAGCCTCGTTCATTGCTGGCACCTTAGTTGACTAAAAACAATAGCTTGCTGCTTCAAAATGCAAAAGAAAGCACAGTTCATGCGTGTTACCTTTAGGCAGGGTAAGGTGCCACGGAGAGCATTTGTTTCCCTTGATTCTCTGACATGTAGCACATTCTTTGCAAATTCTTTTAATTTACATGCTTGATTGTGCAAGACTTTGTGTTAATGTACAACCACAGGTCCGTTATCTTTTAAATCAGTTTTTTCATCCTTCAAAGTTAGTACAAATCTAGGCTTCTAAAAAGAGCTTTGCACTCTGTTGGCATCTTACTTCAGGCAATGGCAATTAAGCTGGGATAGCTGCTTAAAACTTGTTTGTTTATAAAGTGTGTTTGAAACATACTGTCTTGCAAAGACCTTCTTCATGTAGAATTTTGACAGTAATACAGTTGATTCCTGTATCAGGCCTGACTTAACGTGTTCCTTTCCTTTAATGCCACAAACTGACTCAGGAGTTGTTCTAACCGGCAGCTGAGTAGTGTTGCTGCCGGGCATGATGGTTCTTCTGACAATCCCCTTCCACCTGACCCCACCCGAGGTCCCAAGACCGGGCGTCTAGCAGCTCTGCACTCTGGGACCTTCTCATTTGGCCGCCCTTCCTCCCGACCTGTTGCCAGCTCTCCTGACATTGAAGCTTGGCATGAGTTTGGGGAGAAGATAAGACAGGATGTATAGACAGTTAGCTAGGGCTAGTTGTTGGGTGGGCCCTCGGGGGAGCTTCACCCCAAGAAGCCCTGCTGTCTCCCTGGGGAGCGGTTGCAGGGAAAGGAAGGAATGCGCCTCCTCTCCCCTGCTTGAGGGATTCGAACTGGGGAGGGGAAGCTTAAAGCTGGGGAAGGAGTTCAGAACCCGATGCCTGACTTCTCGGGTCCCCTCAGGGGAGAAGAGATGTCTGCTAGTTCAGGATTCTGGGTTCCTGTGACACTTGTCACTTTGTCACACCAGTTACCTGTCTCAAGAGTCTTAGGGTCTTCTAGAACTTCAGTTGCGGGATTGCTGTCTTGCACTATAGGATTCAGGAGCCACATTTCTTCTTTCCACCTTCCGTACACTTTCATTTAGGTTTCAAATTGGTATTTCAGATGGTTTCAGGAATAATTAACCTTAAAGGGAATTGCCACTTAAAAATAATCATAGAAAAAACGTCTTAGGGCCAACTTCTGGCTGCGAACATTTTTTAAAGCAATATCTTAAAATATAGTAAGTATAATCTACATACTGAATTTGTTGATAAGAGTAGTTATATTAAAGAACATTCTCACCATTATGAGCTTCCATTTATTAGGTTGAGGCTGGTCTCTCTTTGTCACTGTCTCATACCTGGAAGATATCCTGGCATTCACCCCCACCCCCTTTTGCTGTCTAGTACCCCAAAGACAAAGGTGGAACTGCCCGTCAGGGCTTTCAAGGTGCCCCCAAAGCCAACTGCTACGTCTGTCTCCTTTGGGGGCAGAGTCTCAGAGTCCCTAGTCCCCTTGAACCACTGATCTTTAGGTTAGCACCCAGTGCTTCACACGACCCACCCTTTGGTGCCTTCGTCAACTGCGAACAGAAGAGTGACGTTTTGAGCCAAGTTTTGATAGTGACGTCTGTCACATAGCAAGTCAGACGAGGTGTTTAATAAAGACGAGCTATTTGGAGAGTTTTCAGGAAAAAGTATACTGTCTGACTGTATGGGACACGTCATTTTTTTGTTAGCAGATGTGCTGGTGTATGTGGGCAGTGGGCATTGTGAGGGCTTGGGAGGAGCTCGGATGCTGAGGGAAGCCATCACCGAGGCTGCCCTGTCCAGCTGCATCTGCTCGGAAGCCCGGACCAAACCCACAGCCTATAGCAACCCTGTACCAGCGAGTAGAGAGCTGCTGCTTAGGGTTTCTGAGACTTTACATCTTTACAGAGGCAGAACTGCTTCATCTTTGTCCCTCAGAGCAGCTGGTGAGTTTGAGACACCAGCCTTTGGGGTTAGCAGCTCAACAGTGCTACCCGGGCTGCATGGAGTCTGTTTTTAGGAGGGGAGTGCCTTTCCTGGAAGCTGCACTGCTCTTCCTGTGTGTGGAGGTCCTGGGGAGAGGGGTGGGGCTGTGGGGGCTGCCCCACCAAGGCACCGCTGCTCTCCTGCGAGCTCCGCCCAGCCTTTCTTTGGCTCATTTGATTTTTCCTGGATGTCTTTTCATCTTTCCCATCTGTAGACAATTGGACATCCCTTTACAAGCCCAAGCCAGTCAGGGTGCAGTACAGCACCGATGAAACTTACAACTTTCCTCTAGTTCTTTAATGCTTCTCGGCCCCCCCACCCCCAAATCATGATCCCAGTTCTATCTTACAAATCAGCTAGACAAGAGCATGCACATGGGTACAGATCAGAGCTGGAAACACAGGGAATCCAGGACAGATAAACCCCTCAGGACCAATAATAAGAAAGTGATGATGGCAACAGATGTGTGCGTGTGCTTAACACAATGGATGTATGTATGGGTTGTAATAAGAGCTGTGTGAACCCCGAATGAAATGATTAAAAAAAATTTAATCCACAGAAAAGTTGCCAGAATAGAACAGTGACTGCAGTTCACACAGGCTCACTGCTGATTAATGTTCTATGTGCCGTTGTGTTTCCTTTCTGAACGTATGTGTTCCACTTTGCTTTTTAATTTTTGCTGAATCACTTGAGAGTGACAGATAGTCATGACACTTGAAGTGTGTGGCCTTGGGAATAAGGACAATCATTTTCTGAAGGAAACCCCCCACACCCCACCCAGAACATCAGGCACAGCCTTGTTTGCTCCTGTGTGCTCTTTAATTCACGCTTTGCCGGCTGCCTCAGTGAGGTGCCTTCCGGACGGTTTTGTGTTCTAGAGTTCAGTGCGGGACTGCACGTTGCGTTTAGTTGGCATATCTTTTTGATCTGCAATCGGGTACAGCTTTTCTTTGTCTTTCATGCCATGATGTTTAAAGATCTGTGGTCAGTTTGGAATTTCTGGATAGATTCAGGTTAGGTGGGGTGTATCATGGGGTTCAGTGGGTTTCTTCTCTCTTTAGCCTGAGCAGCACGTTTGGATGCTGGTCCTCCATGTCAACTTATCCCAGCACTGCCCCTGGGGCAGCATGTCCATGTGCACTGCTCAGGGTGGGCCAGACTTGCCCTCTGTAGAGTCCCTCAGGCATCTGTGTGTGCTGGGAGGCTGCGTAGGGCCTGGTCCTGAAGAGTCTCCCCTGTCCACCCTCACACAGGGACGTGGTGCTCTCCGAGAGTGAGAGCGCTCCGACCTTCACTGTCCAGGAAAGACCTTCCTTTCCTTCCCCATTTACATCACAGCAATTGGTTCTCGGTCTCTTTATCCTCAACTCCATTGTCACTCTTAGCTGTGTTGATCTTCACATGCCATTATGTGCTTTCTGATGGGTCTTCATCCTTTTTGTGAGCAGTGCATGGTCAAGTTTCTCAAGATGCATTAACAGTAAAATTTAGTGTGTCTTCAGCGTACTGTTGGTGTGTTTTGTTAAGCATAAGGGCATTCTGAAAGTTTGTGAAAAACTGAGTAAAGATAATAGAATGTTATTGGTATGGGCAGTGAGCACCATGACGACAAGCAGTAAGGACTGCTTTCCAGTTCTTCACATGTGTGCCACACATGTAAAGACTGTGTTTTGTCAAACATCTGAGTACTTCACATGCGTGCCCCACATGTAAAGACTGTTTTGTCAAACATCTGAGTATTTTGCCCATGTTTTAAATTGAGAAGTTTATCTTTTTATTACTGGTTTGTCTTAGGCATTGAACTCTTATGGGTACAAGTCGTGTGTCAGATACATGTACTGCAAGCGTTTTCTTCTCCCATTCTCTACCTTGCCTTTTTATTTCTTAATTGGTGTCTTTTTTCTTTTTCTTTTTTAATTTGGGGGGTATTTTTAATGATTTTGACTCAAGATCTAGAATCTCCGTTTCTGGAAGAACCACTTGTTTTTGCCTGTCTTGTTCCTCTCCTCAAATTTGACCTTGGCCTCCCGAAGGGCCTTGCGTTTAAGAACAGGGTCTCTGAAGACATCCTTGTTGACGATAGTTTTGTCCAAGGGGATGTCAATGGAGTACCTTGTGGGCATGAGGTGATTATAGTTATACGCCTTCACAAAAGACTTGATCTTTGACCTCTTGGCAATTTTCTTCTTGCCCATGGCAGCTGTCACTTTTCGGGCATAGCAGTCGCTTCCAGCCACCAGGGTGTGGCTGTAGGGGCAATCTGAGGTGCCATCATCCGTATTCTTCACGGTAATGGCTCTGCATCCTGAATAGCGTCCACCAGGACCAGCATCACCTTCCCGGGTCTCATGAACTTGCCCATTTTGACAACAGGCTCTCAGGAAATGGTGTTTCTTGATGAACAATCTTTATGTTTGAGAAATTCCCTGTTTTCTCCCCAACAGTCCTCTCGCCTGTACCTCTCCACCACCAAGTGGGTTCTGACCCATAGTGAACCAAGAGGACCGAGCAAAATCGCTTCTTACGTTTCTGTGACTGTAGCTCTCCTCCCTATGGGAGCAGACAGCCTCATCTTTCTGACCCTGACTGTCTGTGGTTAGCAGCTCAGCCTTGTAATCCTGTGCCCCCAGGTTCCTTCTCCCACAACGAGTTTCTCTGTTAGCCTGCTAGTGTGTGTTTCAGCCCTTAAGCACACACACAGGCGTGCCTGTTGGCTGTCGCGATCTCCATTTTCTTCTTATGTGAAAATTAGCATGGGATGGGTTGACTTTTGCCTTTTGAGTTGCTCAGTTAACAATATATGGTAGGCGTCACTCCTTGTCAGGGCTGACAGGGTCTCATCAGCCTCCCCATTTTAATAAGCTCAATCCTGACTCGCGCAGAGCAAATAACGAATTTAAGCCATTGGGGCTGCAGTTGTTTATGGGCTTGGCTGAACCCTCCTGTAGGGGTTACACTACACTCTGGTGAGCCTATCCCTGGGGGCTGGGGGCCACTGCTGGTGGGGTTGGCCACCTCATTCAGGAGATTGTGAAAGTCACTGGGAAGTCACATTTGGACAGAAGGCTCGCCGTGTGTGTGTGTGTGTGTGTGTGTGTGTGTGTGTGTGACTGCTGCCCCTCCTCCTGTGCTGCTTGTGACATGAACTCTGCTAACCAGTGAGCCCCACAGCTTTTAATAAGTGTCTATCACGCTTTCACTCAGTCTTTCCCTCTGACACAGGTCGCCCGGGAGAGTGGCCCGCCCCACATGAAGAGTTTTGTGACCAAGGTGTCAGTCGGGGAGTTCGTAGGGGAAGGTGAAGGGAAGAGCAAGAAGATTTCAAAGAAAAATGCTGCTATCGCTGTTCTCGAGGAGCTGAAGAAGCTGCCTCCCCTCCCGACCGTGGAGCGGGTGAAGCCTAGAATCAAAAAGAAAACAAAATCCATAGTCAAAGTAAGAGCCTGCCTGACGCATGAGGCCGTTCCCTGGGCTGTGGGTGGTAGGGCTTAGAAGGCTGGTTGCTGACTCCATGCAGAGGGGCGGGCTAGATGTTAACTCACCGAGCCCCAGGCCTCCTAGCCCCGTTTCCGAAATCTCCTGAATCCTCATGGGAGCCGCAGGTGAGGTGAGGTGAGGACAAAGACAAGGGCATGAAGGTCAGGTTCAGCAGAAGAACCTCTACCTACAAGCCTGCACAAAGCCCCAGAGCCCAGAGGGATCCAGCGTGCAGGGAGGAAAATGGTTAGGCCTAAAGGGAAGGCTGCGTCTGCGTGTGCGTGGCCAGCACGGGCATGGGGCAGGATGGAGCCTTCTCTCCTTGGACCTCCTTACTCTCGGCCTTTTGAACTACACTAATGAGCCTGTAAAAATGTAACCCCCTCCGGTTCCCCAAAAGGATCAGGGGCATCCATGGGTGATGCTGAGCTCTGTCTGTGGTTCCTGTGATGGTTTAATTGTTCTCGTGATGTATCAGGACCACAGCCTGCAGACTCTGGATGTTCTTTGGCAGTTTTCTTTTTACTTCAGGGTTTAACCTTGACTCCTTGCTGGCTGAGGGGCTGCAGGGAAGAACTAGGTGTCCCTGGTTCTTTCGCATGGCATCTGCTTGAGCCCGAATTGTCATTGCAGCTGGATGCTGAGTCAGTCCCAACTTTTTTTATAGGGGGGGGGCGGGGGGGAGGGAGTCAGAGTGGGATTTGAGAATCATGTTTATATCTTTTAACTTCCTCTTCATTGTCTATGTTTAAATTTGTTGTTAAGGTTTGAAAGACTGCATTACAATAATGCTTAATCATAGTCACGTAAATACTGATGCTGAGTGTTTAAGAAGACTCTAATGTCAGTTCAGGGACATCCTAGAAAGTCAAAGAGAGCAACTTTGAATTCTGTAGTCAGGCGTGGGGCCGCTTTTTGTGTTCTCATCTCTAAATTGGCAGGGTCTGTTCCATGTCACCCGTTTCCTTATGACTTGTTCCTCAGCTGCACACAGGCCCAGAGTATGGCCAGGGCATGAATCCAATCAGCAGACTGGCCCAGATCCAGCAGGCCAAGAAGGAGAAGGAGCCGGAGTACTTGCTGCTCACCGAGCGAGGCCTGCCACGCCGCAGAGAGTTTGTGATGCAGGTGGGTCTGTATGCTTGTGGGGCCGTCCTCTGACTACCTCACTCTCTGGTTCCGTGGGGTTGGACGCCTTCCTGGGGTGGCCAGGACCAGTGCCGCCAGCCCAGCAGGCCACACAACACTGCTGACAATCGTTGTCATTATTGGCACCATATTACTTGTGATAATTTAAAAATGAACGCTTACCTATACTTTAGTAAACCTAACCCAACCCGCTGCCCTTCGAGTTGACTCAGCCTCATATCAACCTCTCAGGAACAGGGTTAAAACTGCTCCTTAAATTTTCTAAAACTTTAAATAATTAGGGGACAGACAGCCTCATCTCCCCCTTGGAGCCCCTGGGGGGTTTGTACTACCAGCGTTGCGGTTAGAGGACCCCTGTGTCCCCAGAGCTCCTTTCTGTACCCCTTGTCCTCAGGGTGGAGGTAGGGTATAGGGGCCAGAGTTGTGAAATGGGCAGGGGAGTGGCATTACAGGGGGATTTTCGTCTTTATTACCTTATCCTGAAAGGTTATGGTATTGTTCTTTTCTAAGCTAAATCTTCACAAGAAACATGAAAAAAATCTAGCCCCTTCCTGTAATCTTTTTGTAAAATTTGCAATCCAGGCCTAGCTCGCCTTAGATGGAAGGGGCCCTGCCAGTTAGCTCAGAACTGTTTCTCTGTGTTCTTAGCTTATTGAATACAGTTACTTCACACGGACAGAACTGTTTCTCCATGTACTTCCCGTGGGCAGCTTGTTTTGTGGTTTTTATTTAATAGTTTTCTCAGTGAAGAATAGAGTACAGTTTATGAAGCACTGCTGCTTGCCTAGTGCATCTAACTGTTCCTGAACCAGCCCGAGGGTTAGCGCAGTGGTCTTTCCCTTCAGCACCTGAGCAATTCAGACCAAGTCCAACGGCTGGGAACTGCCCGGACCACAGCCCGACTGCAGGCCAAGAAGGGTCTCCTTGGCTGTCTTGTAAAGGGAGGCTTTTGTTTTCAGTAGCCTGGGACCTGTGATTGAGATGACCTTGCAGAAGTTTGGGTGCTGTAGATAACTGGAATATGTTGAACAACAAGCTTTTCGGAGACTAGGAGAGAATTGTAGCAGGCTGGGAAGTATGTATGTGTCATGCCTGCTCAAGTAGAAAGTGAAATAGAGGAAGACCCTCCACAAGATCGATTGACAAGCCGGCTGCTGTAGTGGACTCAAACATCGCCAGACTGTGACACAGGACTGAAGCAGGGTCACTATGAGTTGGAACCGACTTGAAGTCCCCGACTGGACAGACAGACACACAGATACACACACATACCACACACACACACACACACACATCAGTAACTTCAGTCTGACCCCACTGCCAGCAGTAGGGTTAGAGTGGAATTCAGATTCACTTTATTATGATCCACTTCAACAAGGAAAATGTATGTGTCATTGGCAAATGAGTATAATCCCAATATGACTTACCAGTTTATAGTTTTCTTTATGTTCGAGCTAAGAGGAAAGTAAAACAACAAAGGCATACGTCACAGCATCCCTTTTTGTTAGGGATGGGAGCAACTTCTTGCCGAATTACAGGATGAGTTTTGAATGTTGGGAGAAATCTGACAGATTGCAGTATTTTATACTAGCCATAATGCTATAGCTACAGACTTGATACACTTTTAAGCTTAATCTGCATCATCAGCCTTTTCCCATCACTAAAAAAAAATCACATAATAACATCACGTTTGCCCATTTCTGTAGTGTAAATCCTTCCACTAGAGCCATTGCCCAGCCACCCATGTGATGCTGCTGAGCCCAGGCTGGGGAGAGGTGCGTAGAAGCACACCCTTGATTATAGAGATGATACCAGGAGCTTCAGACAGTGGGTGGGAAAATGCCATTATCATTTCATGTCATTGTCCACAAACTCTTTGGAACCACCTCATAGATGTAAAGAACCTTAAGAACATAGTGGATGATAGTATGTAGACAAATTCGGAAGCAGTGGGTTTTGAATATTCAATACCTTTGTTTATGGGAAATGCCTTTAATGATTTGAAGGGCCTGGAGCTAAATTTGCACTGAGGGCTATCTCCCAGCTTTCCAGGCGTGGATGTCTTTACCGGCCAGCACATGCAGGTGGCAGACGCCAGCTCTGTGCACCACCGTGAAGCCGCTCACATTTGACCAGGGCTGGTGTTCTGCCAACAAGTCAGCAACTAACTGCTCTATCTACCTGAGGGGTAAGCACTGCCTATGTCCTGCCTTCCTTACTCAGGTGAAGGTCGGAAACCACACCGCTGAAGGAGCAGGCACCAACAAGAAGGTGGCCAAACGCAACGCAGCTGAGAACATGCTGGAGATCCTGGGCTTCAAAGTCCCGCAGGCTCAGCCCGTCAAACCTGCCCTCAGATCAGAGGAGAAGGTGACTCCTGGCACTCGGAAGGGGGATGACGAGCTCCCCGGGCAGGGTCCCCACAGGAGCTGCCATACCTGGGGTGGGGGAGATTACATGTCAAGTGGCTCCCTGCCCGGCTCCGGGCTCAGTTTCCCATGGGGCCCCTGGCTTGGGAGGCTGTACTGCAGGCCAATCAGCTCTTTGGCGTTCTTTGTGGGCTGAAGGTCATTGTCCTGGAGGTCACAGAGTGTGGGATTGCAGCATCTCTTAAAATGCAGCCTTCAGAGAAGAGTAGCACACCCTGTGCAAGCAGGCTGGGGTTTTCGTGGACACCGAGACCGGGCGATGGTCCAAGCCCTTCCTTTCGCCCTGGGGTGGTCTTTTTTCTTACGTGAGTTGAATGGTAGGTATAGACGGTCCCATGTCAGGAACCTCACTGTCAGCTGGATGCTCCAGCCAAGACAAGCCTGATTCATCCGTGTCTGCTGGTCATGGCAGCAGGGAGTGGACAGCATCAGAGGTGGCCACGTGGAAATTGGCCAAGACCCAGGCACTCGTTGGAGCACCTGCACAGACCTTGACCTGGCCTTTGTGTCCTGCACTGACCACACCCCCAGTTCACTGCATCTCAAAAGGGAGACCTTGGGTTTGACAACATTTTAAACTTTTAAATCTAAATTTGGTTACATTTGGAAATGTCAGCTAATTCTTTTTCTTTTTTAAAGAAATACATTTTCTTGTACCACTTCTTTTTCAGCTTATTCTTTAATTGCATATTAATTCAGGGAAGAGTCTTGATTCATTTGTTAAACTTCAGTCTGAAAGTTGTGTCCTCTCGTGAGGGCTTTACCTGCCTGCCATGTGTGGCTCCTCGTGGTTGAACCCTTGCCTGCCTTCCATGAGTGCCACCGAGTTTTGGCGTCGCCACTCAATGAATGTACTTTCCAAGCGGTGTTCTCGGGCCTGCCTGGTGTGGGTTGCTGTCCCTGGGGTAAGACGCAGAGCGAGCAGTCATCTGTCCATCTTTTGTCCACTGGAGTCTCTTCATATTTCAAATGCTTCAAACAGAAGCTCACACAGGCTGGAGTATGTATTGTTGGCAGCAGGAGCTAGGTTTTCAGTGGCTTGATCTGTGCCTTTTCTTTTTCTCAAGACACCAATAAAGAGACCAGGGGATGGAAGGAAAGTAACCTTTTTTGAGCCTGGCGCTGCAGATGAAAATGGAACGAGTAAGTGTGACCTCCCTGGAACTGAATGGGATTCTGGGACTGCCTGGTTCCTGGTCGACAGCGGCACCCTGTAGCTTGCACGGGTCGAGTCTCTGAGTTCCCGGTGCTTCCGGGTGGGTGCCTGGAGGAGCAGCGTGGTGAGACGGCCCTCTCTCTGCTCGTGTCTGTCCCTCCCTAGGTCCTAAGGAAGATGAGTTTAGGATGCCTTACCTCAGTCACCAGCAGCTGCCTGCTGGCATTCTTCCTATGGTGCCTGAGGTTGCCCAGGCTGTAGGTGTCAGTCAAGGACATCACACCAAAGATCACGCCAGAGCAGCTCCTAACCCTGCCAAGGCCACGGTGACTGCCATGATAGCCCGAGAGTTGTTGTATGGGGGCACCTCGCCGACAGCCGAGACCGTTGTAAAGAATACCTTCTCTTCGGGCCACGTGCCCCATGGACCTCTCATGAGACCCTCGGAGCAGCTACAATACCTTTCGAGGGTCCAAGGATTCCAGGTAACTGTTGGGCCTGCACAGTGGGATTTGTGTCTCGGTGTGGCCGTCTCCGGGCTGCCCAGACAACCACCACTTCTGCTTTGCATTTCTTAAGTCCAGTCTAGAGAGTAGAGCGGGGAGGAGAGAGGGCAGGATGGTGATAGGAGGACCGCATGTGGTGGAGAAACTCCCCATTTTTTGGTGACACCGTCGAAAATGCCCATGTAAGCAGAGCCTCCAAGCTTCAGTGGAGCAGCCATCCTGGGTCGACCCTTTGTGCCGTGTCCTTGAGGGCTTGGCGTCCTGCATCCTCAGGTTTGCGTTGTTAGGTCCTTGGCGGGGAAGTCTGAGGACCAGCATCCGGGGCCCTGGAGCCTGGGATTGACTTTTCTTCGACGGGTAGGTGGGGACCCAGCCACAGTCACACTGCCAGATCCAGAGTTCTGTTTGCTAGACTGCTGCCCAGGCCCTCCTCCACTCCCAGCCCCCCAGTTTTGTGCTCATTTCCTTCTCCCCCTCAGGTTGAATACAAAGACTTCCCCAAAAACAACAAGAATGAGTTTGTATCTCTAATCAATTGCTCCTCTCAGCCGCCCCTGATCAGCCACGGCATCGGCAAAGATGTGGAGTCCTGCCATGACATGGTAGGTGACCCTCTTGCCCCTGGTGGGTCTGACTCAGCTGCGTTCTCTGGCCTGAGGGCTGGAGCTGCTTGGATCCTTCCTTGGCTTAATCTTGTTAGTGACCTTATTTGTAGTTCTGGAAACTTCCTCCGCCTTTATTAGTGGACTGTTACTTTTGTGTATCAGAACACATTAGCTGTAGGCCCTCCTCTCCCCAGTGGTCCTGGGAGGCTGGATTTGGATCCTGAAGCCCACTAGCCACGTCCTTCCTTCCTAGATCACCTGCCCAAGGAACTGTAGCCCCTGGTCAGCCCCTCTAGACAGCCCCTCATTTAGGTTTTCTGATTAATGAAATTATGGTGGCAAGAAATACTAACACTATGAAAATGGGTTGAAATAATTAACCTTTTTGAAAATGGGTTGAAATAAAGTCTGGCAGATCCCCCAAATACAGCAGTTCTCAAACAAGATCCCTTTGGGGGTCGAGCGACCCTTTTACAGAGGTCACCCAATTCATAACAGTAGTAAAATGACTGATGAAGTAGGAATGAACATAATTTTATGGTTGGGGGGCGGGGGGTCACCACAACATGAGGAACTGTATTCAAGGGTCACGGCATGAGGAAGGTTGAGAACCACTGCCCTAGGGGACATCAAGATCCATCCATTGGATACCTCTGAAGCTACGGCAAGGACCGAGCCTGCATTGCACCTAGACTAGGTTCAGAGCTAGAAGTAGAAACCACAGGGGTCACACATCCTCCTGGCAGAGGTTGTGGTAACAGTGGACAATTTACGTTTTAAGAATTTGGGTGTCAGATTTACAGTTGAGCGGTGAGAGAACTTCGTGGGTGGCAGGGCTCCGGGTGGCTCCAGAAGGCCTTGCTGACTCTGCTCTCTGTCCCCACTAGGCAGCAATGAACATCCTGAAGTTGCTGTCTGAGTTGGACCCACAAAGTACAGAGATGTCAAGGACGGGAAATGGACCGTTGTCCGTGTGAGTGCACTGCCTCACGGGGAAAGGCTATTCTGTCTCCGGGTTGTTTCCTGGGCTTGTGCTGAACACTGTCCCTTGCTTTTCCGGGCCAACAACTGGACAGAAAGAACTGCTTTTCTATACATTTCACACGTTGAAGAGGTATCACAGTCCCACATAATCTAGAAATCCAAATTCTCCTAGAAGGTACGTACACAGTGCCCAGTATTGCTCTCACACAGTCTCATGCTGTTTACCCACTTCCTGGAGCGTACAGGTGTTTTTTAACAGTTTTATTGGGACATAATCCACATACCATACAATTCAGTAGTTCAATCATATCAAGGAGAGTTGTACAATCATTACCATAGAGCACAGTTTTATTAGTTTCTTATCCATCTCTCTATGCTCTTTTGTGCAAATAAACAATGTGCATTTTAAACATGTATTTTCTCCCCCGAGGTAATGTTACACACTGACCTCCTTAGATTTCACGCTGGGCAGTAGGTCCCTCCACCCGGTCACATATGCGTCTCCCCTGTGGACTTCAGTGTTGGTTTGGCTAAATTCTCTTACATGAAGAAACTGGTGTCATCTTCCTTTTTCCCCCTTAAAGGTGTGGGAGGTGCTGAACCTTTCCTGGCCACGAACCATGACTAAATCCCAACATAGATACTGAAAATAATGAAACTGCTTTGAAAAAAAAAAAAAAGGAATTTCTGATCCCTCCAGTGGGCTGCGAGGCGTGGAGATGACAAACTGGACTCGACTTGGCACAGAAGGCGGGCACAGCCAGCGGCTGTCGTGGTGGAGGTGTGCACTGTGCTTGCGGTTTGTGGTGAAGGGGCCAGAGCAGAGCAGGGCCTGCCTAGCCTGGGCTTTCGGCAGAGTGAGAGAAACCATGTGCAACATCTCAACACTGGCTCACCCATCCAGTGCCGGGTAAACCCTGGGCAGCCACTCTGCAGAGGTAGTCTGGCCCCGAGCTGCAAGCTCCTGAGAACAGATGCTTCCTACTCAGTGTGGCTGAGCCCGCCTTTGGGAGGTCCCCAGTGCCCACCTCATAGCCACTGCTTTCTCTCCAGCACCGTATACGTCCTTAGTTTCATTGCTTTCTTTTGATTAAAATGACACTATATACAATTTTTATGGGCAAGTTTCTCAATTGTATCTAGTTATATAGCACAGTTTAGAAACTTGTCTGAAATGGATTTTATTAGTAACCTAACTGGCAACGATCATATCTGTGTGTGCGTGCGCGTGTGTGTGTGCGTGCGTGCGTGCGGGGCTGGTAAGCAGCCTTCATTTCATTGGACTGATTGACCCAGGATCATTTCACTGACCCAAGCCAGGTGCCCTTGGGTGCTGCCGAACCAGCCCTGGACTTGGCAGAAACCTGATGAAGTCTCCCCCAGGTGTATAAATTGGACATTTTGAACTTCAATTGATCATTCAGTTTCTTTTCATTTTTTTGTGGGCTAATGGAAAGCCTTAAACATGGATTTGGATCTGTTTTCAAGATGATGAACATGATTGTATTCGCACACACTCGGCTCTTTGGGACCTATGGCTTCACCGCACCACACACAGTGTTCTGCTCTCTGGAGCACAGGAAGCATGCTGGATACTGTTAAGTGCACCTACCCGTTGGCCTGAGAGAATGACTATGCTGACAGGTAGCTGTGCTGCTTTGGATGTGGTGCGGGCACAGGAGGTACGCGGTGTGCTTCTGCACGAGGCCCACTAATGACTGCTCTCATGCATTGTTTACTTACGCTGGAAGTTTTTCTCCCCATGGAATGTAAGTAAAATGGTGTTTGTCACCAATAAATGGTAATAGTAATTTTTTTTAATTTATTCTTAAATGCCACTATTGCTAGATTGCACCCGCCCTTTCCTCCCCTTTTTTATTTTTAAGGAAATAAATTTGTAATGCTTGTGATTCCACCTGGGCAAAATCTGAAGATCTGAAATAGCTTTCTATCAAACCATTGATCAATAAACAGCTACTAATGAATGTTTGGTCATATTGAGCTGTGACTAGAGCACCGGGGAAGGGGGTGAGGAGGTGTGGCTGCAGGGTTCAGTAGCATGGGGTGCTGACAGCCCCTCACCCTGATTCTGGGAGCTACTTGGAGGGGCGGCAGAGGTGGAGTGCTCGTTTGGCTTGAAGCTTTTTAACTTTGGAAGAGTCAGAGCTTCTTAAAGAAGGTTGCACTAGAACCAGTCTCCAGGAATGTAGGGGAGTGCTCAGGGGTGGAAGAGGTTCACTGTAGCAGGAGGCGAGCCCTGGGAGGAGAAAGGCAGCCATCTGTTCTGAAACAGGAAAGGAAGGGACATTAGTGGGCCTGTGACAACCTGCTGTAATCCTTGTCCTTGGAGAAGCCAAGTACCTGGGCTCTGCCGCACTTGGCGTCCACTCACCAGCAGAGCACATCCTGCACGTTCTCCTGGGTCTTTGTTCAGTTGTAAAGATTCATTCTGGAGATCCACTGAAGAAGCTGGTGGCTCCGTTAATGCTCAGGCTAAACTTCCAAACACTATCGCTAATTTCAGTTCTGCCTGAGGTGTGGAAATCAGGACTGCATATATTGTCACAAGAACAAAAGTGCCTCATTTGGGCTCGGGGCCTTGCGGCTGTCACTAGGAGAAGCCATTATAGAATGCAGAATGGTGATGGCCACCAGTGCTTCACAGCTCGGCACAACTGGAGGCCTGTGGGTAGAAGACAGGTGAGGGAGGCCACATGCACTTTCAGTGGGCGGGCAGGCTTGAGAATCTAAGAACATCTAAGGCACTCACTCTGGCCATCTTTTCTGGACAGCTAGAAGCCTCTGGACAAATCTGGAAATCCTTCTGTACTAACATCTGTGAAACTAAGATGTTTCTGCAGAGAGGCCAGTTCTAACGTGTTCAAAGAGCAGCTCACGAGAAAAAAGCCTATGAGCTCAGCAGGGCATACTGAGGGAGTGGGGGCACAGGCTGCACAGACAGCACTCCCCCAGAGGACAGCCAAGGGCACAGGGAGTAGGAGGCAGTGGCTGGGGCATGCGGGTGGTATTGAAGACCTAGAGGGCAAAGACTAGAAAGCACACTGAAAATCCAGAATCAGTATTATTTAAAAAAATAGGTCTGCAACCACAGAAAGTCATGGTTGTGTATACAAAACAAACTTTCTCCCATGGAGCTAATGCTCACTCATAGGAACCCTACAGGACAGGGTAGAACTGCCCCTGTGGGTCTCTGTAACTGCAGTTTAAATGCAGCTGTATGGTGCTGACTAGATGTTGGAGGAGTGACAGCAGATCGCGGGTGGCGGCCAGCTGCAGCGGACTGAGATGGGAATTGTCAGCGGGCCACGGTGGGAAGACTGGCCAGCAGAGCTCCGGGGAGATCTGCCACAAAATGCTCACCAATTAATAAGGGGACTCGAAGGTAAAGACGCTTGGCAGGGTGACAGAAGTCAGTGACCAGAGATGACAAGACCAACAAGGTGTTTGTGGGTAGGCAGTACTTAGCTAAGATTTGTAGATCATTTGATCCTGAAAGACACAGTCCTTTGGAGGGAAGCTGAGGGCGGTGGGTGGCCACAGTGACCTGGTCAGTTTTTAAGTAGTAAGCAGTGCAGTCACTAGTTTTTCAAGTCTCATCTGGGAGATTAATGAGTATGATTGTATCCCCGTGAGTATACACCGTTTTTAAGAGTTTGCTCCTGTTTCATGCTCTCCTGGAGTATTTTAATATTACTTCTAGACCGCATAAATTTTCAGTGTAAGCCCTTATGCTATAGCTGGTTTTTTAAGGTCCTCTTCGGCCAGAGGCATGCACCTAAGGTTCCTGCTGTAGTTCAGAGCTGAATTACTAGTGGTGCAGGGTCAGTGCCCAGTGGGTGCTCTCTCAGGATGTAGATGTGGGGGCGGGGGTGGGGGGACGCCCAGGCCTGGTGTGATCACAGGACAAGGAAGTGGCTGGCCCCAGGCAAGCATCATGCTGTTTGTTGGGTGGAGGCTACCGTGTGCGTACTGGGTTCTGACCAGCACTTGTACTGAAGTCCTGACTCCTCAGGACTTGGCTTTTTGTATGTAAGCAAACTCCAAAAGTTCCCACCTGTCAGCACCTCTGGTGGAAGGGCTTAAATGGCTGTCTTGGAATCATGTGAAGATAAAACTTGGAATTTCTAAATCTATTAACAGATTTGCTTAAGTACTTTTAAGTATTACTGGTTTGGAACAAGAAATAATGTTAACTAGATTTTTAAGGAAACACTCTGTAAGTGGGGATTTTCATGAAAGCAGTGGAGCCATTCTCTGAGAACTGCCGATTCTACTCCACGTGCCTCTGTAAGCTGTGTGTGTGCTCGTAGGAGAGGGCTTCCAGGTTGGTGGGAGAATTCCACTTCTCGAAGGACTTCGGATGCCCGTGTGCATACAGGGCAGTAGAACCTGGACCTCGTGCGCATCTGTTCTAGGAGGAGCATCAAGATGTGATGCAGTCGAGTTCTGAATACACTTTTCCAATAAGAAATACCTGAAAACGGATTAATCCGTTCTTGACCAAGAAGTTTTTACTCTGACCTTGCCTCTTTATACAAAACGTTACACAGAAGGTAAATAAGTTCAGAGTTCAATAATATAACAAATAAGAAACACAATTTAAAACGTTTTTAACAACTACAGTGTACCGTGAGACTGATGAGGATCTGGATCTGTGGACATGCATGTGGAGAGGAGGTGTGGAGAGAGAGACTTTGTTTGGAAGGGGATCCCCTTCCATAAAATCAACGGGTAGCTGCTTTTCAGAAGTTTTTTCCCTTTGCCTTTTTTCACTAGGACCTGGCTGGCTTTCTCTTAAAAAAAAAAAAAAATAATAATAATCTGTCTAATGTGGTCTGTTGGCATTTCCTTAACTTTTCTGAAAGGGTTTACTAAATTATCATCAACACTATCGATAACAGTATTGATAAGGAACGGTTGACCAGTTTCTTATCATGTAAATCTATTTTTTTTGTTTGAACATAAAAATTTATTTAAGTCAAAGTATGCAACAAATAAAACCTACAGAAAACATTTTCTCATCAGTCTTTTGCTTTACCAAATAATATCTTTGAAAACACATGCCTTCAGTCATAAAGTTCTTAAAATACAAAAGAAATGAAATCTGTAAGAAAGTCTAGTAGACCAGATGCTTTTGCCAGGACTTAGGTTGTTGGGTTACAACTCAGTCCCTTCCGTGCCATCCACCTCCACTCAGGCCGCCTTGCCTCATAGTACCTGCCACTGTCCCCACCACGACAGCCATAACCACCCAAGCCATCAGGAGTGCCGTGTTCTCCACGGAAATTGTGCCCCCTTCCCATTGTTCCAACAGATCCATATCCTCCCTGACTACCCATTCCATCCCTGTCATAGCCTCCCATTCCAGAACCTTTCATTCCAGAGCTACCTCCAGGAGTAGAATTAGAGAAGAGTTCAATGTATCAATGGTGCATGTTATTTTTATCTTTGGACACGGCAGCTACTGCATCTTCATGTGTCACAAACTCTACATCTGCTTCTCCTGTTCTGCCATCAGCTCCAATAGCAATATGAACTCGTATAGGGTTTAGTGGTGAGAAGAAATTAGCAATGTCATTTTCAGTTGCACAAAAAGGCTACCGTCTCATATGCACAAAATGACCACCATGAAAACCTGAACTGGCATCACCAGCTCCACCATAACCATGCCCTCCCATACCTCTTCCCCCTCTCATTCTGCCATCAAAGCCATCATTTCCATAGCCACCATAGTCATCAAAACCTCCCTAACTTCCCCGCCCAGCTCCATAATAACCCTCTCCCTCCTATTGGTCTATTGTATGGTCTGGTCGCCGTCCCAGCAATCTTATTGGTGGGTCATCTGCTACTTCTGAAGATCTCGATATAAAGCAAAGGGCACGAAGGCCTCCCCTGTTTCTCCCCTAGCAGCCCATCGTCAATGTTACCCATTTGGCACGTTTTCCAACCCTTGAAAGAACTGAACTCTTTCCTCTTTGTTGCAACCAAATGGCAGTCCACGAAGTCGTACTGTGCCATCACGAGCGTCATTTGGACCATTATGTTTCACAACCCAATCCATCTCAATACCGTCTGATTTAAATGCCCCTGTTATTTCAGATACCCTGTCGGGAGACAGTAAGAGGGGGTTCTGGTGCCTACGGGGTGCATTCGTGAGAGGGGAGCTGTCCCTTGCCTCACGTAGCGCTCCCCACCACGGCCCTTCCAACCGTCTCCTACGGCGGCAACCGCTGAGGGAACTGCGTAGCTGAGCGAGTGGCCATAAATCTATTTTTAAGCACCATGTTCGAATCAGATTTTCTAATTTAGTGGCGGTCCAATTTAATAGTGAAAATGATGTATGTTAGGAAATTAGTACAGTTTATTATGTATTTAGTAACCTACGTGTAACTATTTTGATTTAGGTGAAGGTTTACTGAGCAGATCATCAATTTTATATTTCAACAATTTATACATATAAGCTTAACCTTTAAAAAAATCCATTTAAGAGGAGCTTAGAATGTTTGAAAAAGAAGCTACTAACAATTCCTGTTTTGGATTGAATGCATGTTTTGAAGTCCTGATCCTCAGATTTTGTGCATGTGATCAAGTTTGGAAATAGTGTTTTGTTACTTTTTAATTATGCCATATCTTGAGGGTGGGTCTTAAAGCTAATCACTTCTGAGATATAAGATCACAGCAATAACTCAGGGAAAAGATGTATAGGAAGACAGACACATGGCCGGGAATGTCACGGATTGCTGGTAGCTACTGGAAGGTATATTAGACAAGTCTCCCTGTAGTGCCATGCCCTGACTTTCTGAACAGAGAATTAAAAAATTTTCTTACTCATTTTATTGGGGGCTCGTACAACTTTTATCACAATCCATGCATGCACCCGTTGTGTCAAGCATATTTGTTGCCATCATCATTCTCAAAACATTTGCTTTCTGCTTGAGCCCTTGATATCAGCTCATTTTCCCCC